AAAACCATACCTTCAACACGTGACGTGATTCACACAATCATGACTACATCACGTGACACGACACGTGCCGCACACAGCTATCACTACATCACGTGACTGAAGATATGTGCCACACAACCTCAACTGCATGTTCATCAGGTGACCACAAATATCTCAACTCGTTTTTACGATATCGACAAAAAACCTCCAATTTAAAGTTTTTTTTTTTTTTTTTAAATCTACTGAAAACGTTTGAAGAAATCTTTTATCGTGAAACCAAATGTTGACTTTTAATAAATATATTAACGTTTCAGAATGAAGGGTTGAATTGAAATTGTTTTGCTACGTGAAGTCACAACTACGGTAAAAGAGAATACTTGACCTATATCTTGACCACTGGTCATCCATCTTAATCACTGTAAAGCGGATAGCGTTCAGTGTGACACTGATGTGGTTACTTGTTGCTGCTATTACGAGTAGACAATGGTTAGATGAGGAAGCGCTGATCATTACTCCACACATCAATTCCCCATTATTGAGAGCTGTGCCGACATAGATAGCAAAAAAGGGGAAAGCTGCTAAATTGGGACGAGAGAGCCACGAGATTCAATCAAGGGTGATTACAAATCACCAGTTGATTGTTATTTTATATAGATGATTAATCAATGAAGTGTTATTATTATGTTACATTGACGTGTTTAAATGACTGTTGGAAATGATGTCGGCAATACAGACATCTAACAACGGCCCGGCACCATAAATGACTGTTGGAAATGATGTCGGCAACATAGACATCTAACAACGGTCCGGCACCATAAATGACTGTTGGAAATGATGTCGGCAACGTAGACATCTGACAATGGCCCGGCACTCTAAATGACTGTTGTAAATGATGTCGGCAACACAGACATCTGACAATGGTCCGGCACCATAAATGACTGTTGGAAATGATGTCGGCAACACAGACATCTAACAATGGTCCGGCACCATAAATGACTGTTGGAAATGATGTCGGCAACACAGACATCTAACAATGGTCCGGCACCATAAATGACTGTTGTAAATGATGTCGACAACACAGACATCTAACAATGGTCCGGCACCAAACTTTGTCCAACTTCACGAACTCTTTACACTAATTTTCATGACAATCCTTTTTCATCCTTTCCTTCTTGATAATAAATTTACCAAGATTTCAATGACTATGTTTCTACCTAAAAGATAAATACATTGAAGAGATAAATGAATATATATCATATCAATAACCTTTCTCGTTATAGACCGATCACGTTGTCTGTAGTGCGTGCATTGCCAGTTAAGTTAGGATCTTAATCAATACGATTTGCGATCTGGATTAAGTAATATTCTATTTCTTTGTGAGATATGAAGCTGGACGTTAGTTTGTCTGTTGGTTCTGTTCTTGTATACATTGTTCTCATTAGGGAACGTGACATTACTTATTTGAATTGACCAAGGTTTACCTGGCGTTTGGTTGTCGATGAAGCAGAAGACGCCTAGTCTTCCGGTACACCTGGTCTTATTCTCCCTGCACTTTATTTCATGTGTCTCCGTATATATCTTTGTTTTGTTCATATTTTATCCTGGTTTTATTTAATTTGAGTTTGGATTATGATTATGTTGACATTTTGGTATTTTTTAGATTCTTTTTTTTATTATTATTGATTGTGAATTTTCTCTCCACTGACCATCTTTTCGTCTGTTCAGTGGTGTTATTTTATTCCGAGCGGTGACATACTCATTATCAAAATCCAAATTATTAATATCCCGAAAAAAACTTGAAATATTAATGTGAGAATATTTTCAGGATAGGCCTATTTTTGAGGTTGACTAATTTTCAAGTTTTCGGGATGTTTGGATTTTATCAACAATCCATAAAATGTGAAATTTGAAGATGTCCAATCTTGAAGATTCATATTCAAATTGTTTGTTTCTCTTTAGTCAAATTCGTGTTTGTTACAAAAGATCAATTTCAAGAGAAGATAAACATGGCAGAAAGGATAATTTAATTATAATACCATAATACAAACTAAATACATTGTACTTATAGATAAATATGATACATCATTTTAAATAAAGGTTTAATTTCAATTTTAAATATACAAGGGTAATGGAGTATTAACGCCATTGTATGATATGGAATAGGAATTTAATCAGTGTAAAGATTGTACAAATGACAGCTTTTATTACAAATTTAGAGCTAGGGTAGAGCCAACCAATGAATTAAACTGTATTATACAGCTGTTTCGTCGTTCTAGGACTCGTCAGTGATGCTAAGGGCCTACATTTTGAAGCCTAGTAGGCAACTAAGGAAAATCCAAAGTGACGGGTAGGTGCAACAGACCCATAATTCAATAAATTTTGTACTTTTCATTCAGATAATTTAAGAAATGCGCCAAGAACATGTGTATATTCTGAACCGCGCCTCTTTTTCTTATGTATTAAAACGTGGCATGCAGGTAACAGCAAACCTCGGGGACGTAAAAAGTCCACCAGCAGTGTCTACCACCTGCTGTCTCAAAGATTGAACAAATGCATGGGTTTTCGACTTTTTTGAAACACACTAGCTTTCTTATCTTATAAAGAACAGAAGCAAATCTTACACATACCTCAGACCCATCTACCTGTTTTGATAGGTAATCTTAAGCTCGACATTCTAAACTTGCTAATACCTTAACGTTCTTGGGAATTAAGCTTAATCAGATTAAATTTAAACTTTTTTTAAAGATAAGAACAAAATTGTCCTCAGTCCGAAGAGCTGATAACAGAGAACCAATCACAAAAACGTGCAAGATTAGCGACGCTGGGACATTTGATCATCTCCATTAGCGACCCTGAAATAATTGCGGTTGTCCAATGGCGACTTCAACAGAATTAAGGTTGTCTAAATGCGACCTTGAGATACATGAAGATGTCCGTATGCTGACTTCAGAGATTTCATGCTGTCCGATTGTGACCTTGAGAGACTTGCTGATGTTCGATTGTGACCTTGAGAGGATTACAGGTGTCCGAATGTGACCTTAAGTGACTTGTTAAGTTCAAATGCGACCTTAAGATAATTGCTGATGTCTGATTGTGACCTTGAGAGCCTTGCTAATGTTAGATTGTGACCTTTCAAGAATTGCTAATGTTAGATTGTGACCTTTAAAGAATTGCTGATGTTAGATGGTGACCTTAAGAGAATCGCTGATGTTCGAGTGTGACCATGAGAGAATTGCTGATGTTCGATTGTGACCTTGAGAGAATTGCTGATGTTTGATTGTGACCTTGAGAGAATTGTTAATGTTCGATTGTGACCTTGAGAGAATTGCTGATGTTCGATTGTGACCATGAGAGAATTGCTGATGTTCGATTGTGACCTTGAGAGAATTGCTGATGTTTGATTGTGACCTTGAGAGAATTGCTGATGATCAAGTTTGACCTTGAGAGAATTGTTGATGTTCTATTGGTAAAGAATTTTTTTTTAAGTGTGAGCCTGAATCAACCTTGCATTGATTCCGGTAAGTAGAAAAGAAACTTGATATTTGGACAATTTGACATATTGCTTCCTTAGCGATGATGTCTAGTCGTTACCATTGGATACGTCAATCTCGCACTAAACGTTGCTCCATTACTACATCCGCCTCACATGGGCGAGCCAGACATCCTTTTGTGACACCATGCACTTTACAAGGTAGACGAGGAGACAGACCGTGTTATCAATACAGCAGCTGAAATTTACACGTTATGACGTCACGTGGTAGATATCTTGATCTAATTTACCATACTGCATTGTGGCCTGCTAAATCTATATTTAATTTGTCGTTTCAAGATTCTAGGAACACGTACTTGTGCTAGATTCTGTGTCGGATTACAGTGATGGAATAGCTATTGAAACATTGCTATTATCCTACAGTAAACTCCGCTATGAACGATTGTATACAATCCACTCAAGTGAATAGCACCTTTCAGTACAAATTTAGAATAAGATACAGAAGAACCAGTTAATGAATTTAACTACGCCACACAGCTGTTTCGTCCATTAAGAATGCGTCAGTGAATCTACGGTCTTATTTATGAAACCTAGGTTGCGACTGAATAAAACTAAATTGGTGGTAGATGGAAAGAGACATTGGAATTGGTAACCCTGTATTTAAATAAATTTCGTATTTTTGGACGTAATGTGGACTCGAATTTCTATCAATTTAAAAGTCACGTGCAGGATATAATTTGTGTATTTTCTTTAATTGAGAATTAATTTTTCCATTATTTTCCAATCACACACACACACACATACACACACACACCTAAACATAAATTACAATAGCAGACGGTAAAAAATAAAAACAAACAAACAGAAAACAAAGCATAAACAAACAAAACAATAAATAAATCAAAACAAAATAAAAAGCAAAGAAAAGCAAAGCAAAGCAAAGAAGTTGAAATAAGGAAATAAAAGCTCTGCTATGCTGTGATGTTCTTTGCAGAGAAAGGCATGAAGTACTGTACACTCAATGTGTCAGTATCAGTAAAGAGCTAGTCAGTCACATGTGGCACTGCCATCTAACATCATAAATCCTTTTGGTTGGCGATTGCTCGTTGTTCTGGACACGAGTAGACTACATATCATACCCTAAGATTCTGTCACGCACCAGTCGTCTAATAGATATGTTGGAACAAATTGCATCTGAAAAAAATTAAGGAAGTCTAAACTTCAATGTAACTATTATAATATATGAATAAAGGAGGGATTTACACGGACACACAAGATAAAAGACCAGGTGTTTCAGAATAATAAGCTTATCATGCTTCCTCGATGACACCCGCCGTGTTCAAACAAGGGAACAAAATAGGCGCTAGCAGATTTTCCAAATTTATTGCCAGTATGTTTCACTCTGAATTAATTTAAATGAGATATTTTGTGATTCTTAATTTCGATGGCTTTTATTGACGGCTATCGTGAATGTTATTACTACATTTGACATAGTTACAATTTTTATCCATTTCTTATTAATGTTTTACAGGTAGTGAAAATGCTGATAATCGTTGTCTGCCTGTTCGTCCTGTGTTGGATGCCACTCCAGGTGTACCAAGTCCTGTCCGAACTCTACGTGGAAGTTAACAAGTAAGTAAAACACAGACGATTATCATTCAACGCCATGGTTTTTTTTTTATTTATCATTACATCGTTCGATGTTCATTTTTTCATTACTCCTAAAAAAGTTATATCACCTTCATTATCATTGCCATTTCAATTTTCCTTTCATATCACTTTCAGTTGATAGTATGTGACCCCATCCGCGATACTCCAGGGGTTACAATCACTTTCGTTCCCTGTATCCATGGAACGTGTCATAACAAAATCAAAGGTTCCGTGTGCGACACCTTGTGGACAAGACAAAAAAGGCTAGTTTGATCCTTTGATGTACATAAAACGAATCTTGAGGTCACATAACAGTATATTGTAATGCCTTTGAAGTTGGGTGTCGCTCCTTTGAAATCTTCAAAGGGAGCGAATCAGCATTTGTTTTTTTCTACTAGAACCAATCAAACGTTTTGTCATGACGTGTTCCAGGGGTGTAGAAAGATAAAGTAGTCGTTACCACTGGAGTATCGAAGATGATGTGTCCCTAGATAGTGTACCTGATCGCTCTTTATGATGTAGTCAACTCCAGAAAAGGGTAATATAGCCATGTTTTGTTGTTTTTTGTTTTTGTTTTATTGTTCGAACCGTTTAGACAGAACACAGATTGGGTGCTTTAGTTCGGTCGATAGAGCAACGGTCTCAAATGAAGATCTAAGGTACATAGTTCGACGACCTCTACCTGGTTTTTTTTCATGATTCTCGGGAGGCTGAGAAATCGGATCGGTCTGTTCTGTTTTGGTTGTGTTGGGAGAGACGCAGTACCCTAATTGAGCTGTAAGACATGCGATATGTCAATGAGGTATCCACTAGCTCCCACAGGAAGCCGTCTCAGAATGATCCGGACTGTTCACAGGCGATATAACATGGGAACAAATAGACAAACAAGTATGACGTTCATGTCTTTGTATGTTGACAGCAGATGTATCCGCAAAAATATAACCCGTTGGTAGTTCAAGCTGATATGTGAATGGGTACTCAAGTGTAAACAGGCATTCTAGTTCAATATAGATATAAATCGGAATGACAGCCAGAATTGATGACACTTTGATGGAAATTAATTTCAACAACAACAACAAACAACAACAAATTCCACAAAACTCTGGCAAAATATGAACAAACGAAAGATTTACATGGAGACTCCTGAAAAAGTACAAGGAGAATAAGACCAGGTGTTCGGGAAGCGTAAGTGTATTCTGCTTCATCGACGACACCCGCAATATTAACCTTTGTCAATCCAAGTTAGAAATGCAACGATCTCTAACCAGAACAAAATTTACAACAACGGAACCAACAGAAAACTAAAGAGCAGCAAGCACGTCCAGCTTCATATCACACAAAGAAATAACATATTTCTGAATGCGATCACTTAAAGGAGACCATAGAATTTCCTCACCATTTTCATCAACCTGCAGATTTTGAAAAAGTAATATGATAAAAGTAGAAAAAAAATCGCTAACGTTGTCATTTCTCTTTTGACATGAATGTACACCGTACCAGGCCAAGGAATCCACAACATGAACCTAGCTTTTTAAAAGCACCCTTTGCTATTTTCACGAAGCTTCCAATTACCGTTTCAATGCCAAACCCGTCAATGTCAATGTGACTGTGGAACTATCAGAAGTCATAAAATATCGCATCTGTTTTTTGTTTTCATCAAACCTTATAATCACTATTGATTGTAAGCAATTTCTGTAAGTCTGGCAACAGGGCTGCTTCCGCGGGTGTTTCGAGCTTTGCACTTTATCATATGGGATTTACTTCCGTTTAGCAATGTGAGAGGAAATGGGAAAATATCTTTTTATTCATCAAAGGTCATACATCTATAGATTCTGACAAGGTGTTTACAAACACCCAGTTTTTGTTATCACTACGTGGAAGACAAATATCACTTTCTGTTTAACCTTGACTTTTTAAATCAGCCATTACGTTCATATCAAGGAAATATAAATAAAAATGTATTCATCTTCAAGAGAAAATATATCGTACGTAGACCCCTGTAGAAAAGGCTTTTGTACGTTTTATTGCGACCCCTGTAGAAAAGGCTTTTGTTGGTATGATTGCGACCCCTGTAGAAAAGGCTTTTGTTGGTATGATTGCGACTGTAGAAAGGCTTCTGTTCGTTTTATTGCGACCCCTGTAGAAAAGGCTTTTGTTGGTATGATTGCGACTGTAGAAAAGGCTTTTGTTGGTATGATTGCGACCCCTGTAGAAAAGGCTTTTGTTGGTATGATTGCGACTGTAGAAAAGGCTTCTGTTGGTATGATTGCGACCCCTGTAGAAAAGGCTTTTGTTGGTATGATTGCGACTGTAGAAAAGGCTTCTGTTCGTTTTATTGCGACTGTAGAAAAGGCTTTTGTTGGTATGATTGCGACCCCTGTAGAAAAGGCTTTTGGTCGTATAATTGCAACCCCTGTAGAAAAGGCTTTTGGTTGTTTCATTGCGACTGTAGAAAAGGTTTTTGTTGGTATGATTGCGACCCCTGTAGAAAAGACTTTTGTACGTTTTATTGCGACCCCTGTAGAAAAGGCTTTTTTTATGATGCGACCCCTGTAGAAAAGACTTTTGTGTTTTATTGCGACCCCTGTAGAAAAGGTTTTTGTTGGTATGATTGCGACCCCTGTAGAAAAGACTTTTGTACGTTTTATTGCGACCCCTGTAGAAAAGGTTTTTGTTGGTATGATTGCGACCCCTGTAGAAAAGACTTTTGTACGTTTTATTGCGACCCCTGTAGAAAAGGCTTTTGTTGGTATGATTGCGACCCCTGTAGAAAAGGCTTTTGTACGTTTTATTGCGACTGTAGAAAAGGCTTTTGTACGTTTTATTGCGACCCCTGTAGAAAGGCTTCTGTTGGTATGATTGCGACTGTAGAAAAGGCTTTTGTTCGTATAATTGTGATTGTAGAAAGGCTTTTATTGGTATGATTGCGACTGTGGAAAGGCTTTTTTTGGTATGATTGCGACTGTAGAAAAGGCTTTTGTTCGTATAATTGTGACTGTAGAAAGGCTTTTGTTGGTATGATTGCGACTGTAGAAAGGCTTTTGTTGGTATGATTGCGACTGTAGAAAGGCTTTTGTTGGTATGATTGCGACTGTAGAAAGGCTTTTGTTGGTATGATTGCGACCCCTGTAGAAAGGCTTTTGTTGGTATGATTGCGACTGTAGAAAAGGCTTTTGTTGGTATGATTGCGACTGTAGAAAGACTTTTGTTGGTATGATTGCGACCCCTGTAGAAAGGCTTTTGTTGGTATGATTGCGACTGTAGAAAAGGCTTTTGTTGGTATGATTGCGAATGTAGAAAGGATTTTGTTCGTGTAATTGTGATCTGCGTAGAAAGGCCATTGTTGGTATACTTTCGACCCCAGTAGACAAAATGGACGTGGTAAGATTTTAGTAGAGAGCGCCCTATCGGCATATCGTGTATAGCGACCTGTCGGCATATCGTAATATAACTTCTTATCGGGATGTCGTGATATAGCGCCCTGTCGGCATATCGTAATATAGCTTCTTATCGGGATGTCGTGATATAGCGCCCTGTCGGCATATCGTAATATAGCTTCTTATCGGGATGTCGTGATATAGCGTCCTGTCGACATATCGTAATATAGCTTCTTATCGGGATGTCGTGATATAGCGTCCTGTCGACATATCGTTATATGGCTTCTTATCGGGATGTCGTGATGTAGCGTCATATCGGATTGAAGTAAAATAGCGCCCTATCGTAGTCGTATTGGCTAATAGTTGGTATCAGTGTATATATGTTTACACCTGATAAGAAAACAGACAAATACCACAATAAATATTGACTTATCATCCGTTTGTGATTTCCTGATTCTCTTGTTCCTGACAAGAAATATTTATGTCTTCCACAATTCTTGTTGTGTTTCATGAATTGCTTATGAAAAAGGAAATATGCACCAGGAAAAATAGAGGCAATTTGAAGTCCGTTTGGAGAGAAGCGAGGCCGCCGGAGGAATTGATCTTAATGTGCGGCGGTGCTGATTTTACAATTTGTCAATTACGGTTTCATGCCGAGGCACAGATCAGCTTCTCACTATAGTGTCTGACTAAGAGCCACAGAAACAACGAAAAAGATTATATCCTAAATCTACGCTTTGACGATAATTTACTTTGATTTTGCTTGTTTTTGTTTCACTTTGAAACGTCCGTTTTTGCTCCGCCGGGTTAACATTTTTACGAAGATTCAGTCGATGTTTTTATCTGAAGGTCTTTCCGTTCGCAACAAAGCTAAAAGACGAACCATAACACATCACACAACACCACATCCTATACACTTATATAGATATCTGTAGTAAAGGAGGCGTATACCATCCCTGTTTCTATGCGATGTTTTACTCTTGTTGACACAACACCATAAAGGGTACTGTCATATATTTTGTTTTCCACTCCAAATTGTCGATTAGAGTATCTGCAGGCTGCAATATGACGTCATAGGTTAAAAACAGATATGATACTACTTTTTATTTCTAATTTTTTTTTTCGAAGGTCAGTCAAACCTCTGTAAAACACAGATAAGGGATACTTTCTCTGCCGTCAAACACGTCTAACGCCTGTCTAATACACAATATATCCCTTTATTGAAATGTTCTAAGGAGAGGAGTTAAATACCATACCCTCGGGAAAACGTATTTCTTTCATATCTAAATGGTAAAAAGGTAATTCCAATGTTTGATGAATGCCTCTGTAATGAATCCTTCATTCCGTCCGTCCGTCCGTCCGTCTGCATCGTATGTTGTGGGTTCAAACGGTTAGCTCTATGTCTTTGATAAAAGATAGTCTTCCATCTAAACAGTCCGTCAGTCCGTTCTGCCGTCTGTTTTGTTTCTATTTGCTTTATGTGGTTAACTATGTCTTTGATAAAAGATAGTCTTCCATTTGTACAGTCCGTCAGTCCGTTCGTCCGTCTGTTTTGTATATATTGGGTAGTAATAAATAACGACGGTATGGTCCTATATTAACACT